AGATCAATGGGTTTATTGTGAAAAAATAGAATACAGATGTAAAACGTACCTGATAAAAGAATTAAATGTGTGTTTAACCTTCCTATTTTGTTTTTTCAGTGCTACTGGTGCTTGACCTTCTTCATTTTTCAGACTATTCTCTTTCTTGGTAGTTTTACATTTTAAATTTTACTTAGACTACAAAAACAAACTCTGCTGGTGTTTTTCATCTCAAGTGCTTACCAAATCCCTCAGATTTTACAAAATATTTAAAAAGTAATCTCCAGACTAAAGTCTCATTAAAACCTTTGCCCTTCCTGTGGAACAAAAGTTCAGAGAAGTTCTGCTCGATTCTGATCTGGAAACTGTAAAACAAAAAAATATCATGGTGTGAAGTATTAATTTAGGCTTGGCAGCTTCACCGTAAAATTTATTTCCAGAAGTTTCCAATTAAAATGCAGCATGTCTAATAGTATAAGGGAAAGCACCTTAAAGGCTCTTTCTTTTATATTATATAGGAGGAAAAATACCCCAAACATTAGTGAAAATAAAATGTCTTGGAGGTATTTTTTATTTAACAGTCACATATATATTGCAATGAGTTGACTTGGTAGAAGAAACCACATCCTTAGGAATTTCTTGTACTAATTTTCAGTATTGCTTTTTAATCAAGCCATTTGATAGATTAGTCAGATATTTCTAAAGATGCAATTTTTTCTTTTGGGTTTCTTTATATCTTTATTCTACCTTGTGCTCTCCTGCTCCTTGAACAATGCAGTTTGGATGTTTTCCCCCTGTGGCCTTTTCCCCCTGTTTCAAAGGAGAGAAAGCAAAATTGGAAAGAGGATGGATTGACTAGGATGGTTAAAAGTATGGAATACCTTATGTAAGAGGATGCAGTAAAGAATTTATGTCCCTTTGGACGGATGGAGGTACCATATTTGCTGTCATGAGTGGCATGGTGATTGTTCACTGCATTTCTGTAATAGAGGTAGGAATGGTCATCAAACAGAACTGCATTTTGCAGGTTGAAGTAAATCAAAGCAGTTGTTTAGGATTATTGAATGGCAATATGCATTGTTACTGAAGTTATCTGGTTGTGGAAGGATCTGTATTGCAAACTGTTGGAGGTCAAGAGAGTATTGGCAGAGTAACACTATCTGCTTATACTGTTCGTTTAGTCTTCACTGGGTATTTTCTATGGACTGAAAAGCTGTCAGAGATGGGTTATTTAACTATCCCGTGGACATCTGGTATGGCCTGCAGTGGCTGTTACGTTATAACAGCTTAAAATGTTCTGTCTCAAGATGGGTGTTTCTGGATGTCTATGAAAACTTTAAACGGCATCAAAAATAATGAAATTTAAAGCAAATGTATTTTTTTATTTCCAAAATCATTTCAAAATATCACATTTTACATCTTGTTATATATTTCTCAACCAAATGTAGATCCACAGACAGAACTATGTGCAGTTGTTGTATATTGACGGAGTGCTTTTCATCAGCAGGTGGTATTGGATTTAAGAAGCTGAAACATAAGACAAGTGCTTAGGGATGGTCTGTAAGGTGATACTGCTTGTTGAAAGTCTTGTAGTTAAGTATTTCCCAAGATGGTCTGGACAGCATAAACAGTGCTACTGTGCAAGAGCTTTTATATTATGAGATAAAAGAAAGCAAAATGTTTTCAGTTGTGGAATTTTACCGTAGAGAGAATTACTTCTGCAACTGATGCTAATTTAATCTGAAGCCAAAGAGAAATGATTCTCAAAAACAGTTTTGCAAATCTGATGAAGTTCTACTGTGAGAAATAGTTGTGCAGCAGTTCCCGTCAGGAGATCCCCTTTCTATTTTGGATGTTGGGTGTATACTGCAAATCAGCAATATTAAGAATAAGAAGGAAGATAAATAGCATGCTTAGAGGCAATTTTTTTTGGTGATGATGTAATCATTTTAGAGTGAATAATGAAATTTGAACATTTTTCTTGACGTACAGGTGCTCCTGTACATGAGGCGCAGAATCTGGCTGGGTTTTCACGTTCCGATTTTTCACAGTCCAGAAATAAA